TTCCGATGGATTTTGCTTCGTATCACCGGAATTCTGTTTTCTGATTGGTTGAAGAGCGTCGTACAACGAAAATCGGATACAGTGTGAATCCAACATAAGACATCTTAAACACATCTTTAAAATTACTTATATAAGTATTCTTAAAGACGCCTTATGCATCAGTTTTAAACATGTTGGTATATGTGTGCTATTTCTGGGCTTTCTTTTGTTAACAATTTAATATTTAACAGAATAAGCTAAAATGAGCCAGAAATTGGATTCGACGCATAGTGGTTCTATCATGTTTCGGCGTAACAACAAAATAGCGTAAAAAGCATAAAGTGACTAGACAGAAACTGATGTTCAAGTGAAATGATATGATTGGTCAGCGCAAGTTACGCTTACGCAAATTACGCCGCATGTAACGGTACCCTAACTCCAACATGCTTCAACATGTTCCTACCATAGTTCCTACTCACTCTAACGAGCGCGTTTGAGTGAGTAGGAGCTACAGTTGGAGGAAATAGGAGTATGTTGGAGCATGCGACGCGAACAAACTTCTTGTGTCTTAAGACTATCGCACATGAAATGCATAACAGAGCATAAGCTTAACATAAGACTGCTGGACCAATGAGCATCTAGCATAATGTCGCCATATTGATTTACATAAGATGGTCATTGGTTTAGCGGCCTTATGTTATGCTTATGCTCTGTTATGCATTTCATGTGCGATAGCCCTTATGCTTAATGGCCGCAGCACACGCTCATGCATAACGCATAATGCATAGTGCTTAAAGGAATCAACCAATCAAAATTCTTCTTTTCCATGGAATAAAGCGGGGAGCACAGATTCTTGCATAACGCATAACACATGAGGCATAAGAAATTGAACCAATCAGAGTCCTTTATTTCATAGAAAAGAAGGAAATGAAGGACTTCGATTGGTACATTTTTTTATACATTACGTGTTATGCGTTATGCAAGAGTCTGTGCTCCCCGGTTAAGAAGAAAGGAAAGATTCTGATTAGTTGATTCGTTTATGCACTATGCGTTATGCGTTATGCAAAAGTGTGTGTTGCGGCCTTTATGCGCTATGCAAGATCTACGAGAAGTGGGGATGGAAATAAGGGACTCTGATTGGTTGATTCGCTTATGCACTATGCCTTATGCGTTATGCAAAAGTCTGTGCTGCGGCCTTAAAGCTGTTGTACAAAAATCGACATAAAGATATACGTTTAATAAAAATGGGTGGCACCCAATTGGACACGGCTCAATTGGACAAGAGCCATTCACAGCGCTTGATACTACAAAGCTCCTAAGCACCGGTCGCTGTGATTGGTGGTGTCCAATCGAGCCGTGATCAATCGGGATCACCCTATATGAAATAAACCTGGAATCTTTGACCTTCACTGACAAAACATTGAATTGTGTATTGACATGAGCCGAAGGCATATTGAACATTTATTATAGATTTAATTTATTTTCTATTTTTCACAGAAGAAAATGCTTCGTAACTGAGAAATAAAAGGTTTTCGGATTATGAAAAACGCTATTAGGGTGTTGTCACATGCGGCGTAACTTGCGTAAGCGTAACTTGCGCCGACCAATCACATCATTTCACTTGAACATCAGTTTCTGTCTAGTCACTTTATGCTTTTTACGCTATTTTGTTGTTACGCCGAAACATGATAAAATCACCATGCGTCAAATCTAATTTCTGGCTCATTTTAGCTTATTCTGTCTGAAAAATTGCACAAGGGTTTCGATTTTGCAACAGTATAATTGAGGGGTTGGGTGGAATAAAATAATTCTACTTAGGCCCTTTTTTCGGAGATTAGTGAATATGAACAAAGAATTGATGTTACTTACATTAGTAAAATATGAACTCA